GCATGTATAGTTATCTTTATTGAAGTGAATTAAGTTTAAATCGCCGTCATGCATTAATGAATAATATTTTGCTATTTTACACATAATAATCCACGATGATCACATTACACAAAACTGAAATTGCACGTCAAAATAAAAGATTGTCAATATTTTTTGAGACCCCCCCAAAAAAAAGCTCCCCCTAGCTCCCCCGTAGTTCGCACCCTGATCGTGACAATTACTGAAATTACTTCTCACAGAAAGTTTTCAAATTACTGATTTTGATTTGATAATCCATTATTTCATCTGTCAATTTAAAAAGGCATAAAATCTCTGAGAGAAACTTTAAAAGAAAATGCATAGCATCATTACATTATATAACATTACTCACATGGGGATTTTAAATCCCGCACAATGAAGTATATGCTCTTAACATTGCAGTTTTCACATATCATGTAAGACTCAATTTCTCCATTTCTTTGCACAAAACTCTCCAGAAAATGCCATTTAATGGTTTATTTTTCAAAAAACATACGTTGTCTTATATTATCTAGCATTACAAGCTTTCTGAATACGCTTTAGTATCAGTGCTGGTCTCTTTTCTGCCGTTTTGTTAATTACCTCTGTAGATTTGAAAATCCTGCTTCCCCCATTATTGTTGAATCACGGAAGCTACACCAGTTACTTTTGGCAAAAGATTTATTATTTATACATGTGTCATGTCAGACAGAGAGAAACACAGGCATATAAGAATAAGGCTATATGAGAGTAGGTCTTCATTCCAGATTTCTCTGTTCCCCTCTATCCTCTCCGACTCCCATCATTCATTCATTTCATTTATTTATATAGCACAAATAAACACAACAGAAGTTGACCACTGTGCTGTCCATACAAAAGAATAAAAATATAAAGACACAACATTAATACAAACTAACAAGCAATAAAACACTACATTTGCATTCTTTATACCAGGGTTATGAGTGAAATGCACGGTTAAAAAGATATGACTGCAGTTTGGACTTAAATTCATACATAGATGTGGCAGATCTCACAGGTAAGGGAAGACTGTTCCATAGCCTAGGGCCAGCCACTGAGAAGGCACGATCACCTCGCAACTTCAGTCTGGATTTTGGGTGTACAAGTGTGATGCTGTCTGAAGAGCGCAAGCATCTTGTTGAGTGTTTCACGTTAACAAGGTCTGACAGATAAGACGGAGCCTGACCAAGTAGTGCCTTAAAAACAAATATTAAAATTTTATATTCCACTCTGAAATGCACTGGCAACCAGTTGAGAGAGATTAATATCGGGCTGATATGTTCTCGTCTACGCGCTCCAGTTAAAAACCTGGCAGCGGCATTTTGGACCATCTGAAGCCGCAACATGGATGATTGAGGTAAACCAACATACAGTGAGTTACAATAGTCCAAACGAGATAAAACAAATGCATGAGTTACAGTTTTGAGATTGTTGAAAGATAAAAAAGGTTTAACTTTGGATAAAAGTTTAAGGTGGAAAAAACAGGACTTGACCACAGAATTAATATGTTTGTCAAACCTAAGGGATGCATCAAAAATAACTCCTAAATTTCTCACAGTAGGTTTGATATAGTTATTCAAAGAGTCATAATTATTATTGGGATTTATCTTTCCCACGGAGGGCCCAAAAACAATTACTTCAGTCTTAGACTCATTTAAATGCAGAAAATTCAAAGACAACCAGGCTCGAACATCATTTAAACAATCACGCAAGGTTTCTAGGCCTTGCTTGTCATTTTGTTTCAACGGTAAGTAGATTTGGGTGTCGTCTGCATAAAAGTGAAAGGACACTCCATATTTCTTAAAAATTGAGCCCAAAGGCAACATGTACAATGAAAACAATATGGGGGCCAAAATAGACCCCTGGGGGACACCACAAGTGACTCGTGCTACAGATGATACAGCATCTCCGATACCCACTGAGAAAGTTCTATCTTTAAGGTACGATCGGAACCAGCTAAGAGCAGTACCTCGAAGCCCCACACACTTTTCTAGACGCAATAGCAGAATGTCGTGATCAACCGTGTCAAAAGCCGCGCTCAAGTCCAATAGCACCATTGCTGAGTTCCCAGAGTCAACAAATAATAAAATATCATTTAAAACTCATGCCAGCTGTAAATGGTTTCTCCGGGTTTCTCCCTCACCCCTCATCTTTATGTTTGTCCTTCCTCTCACCCCATAATGCCTTTATGTTTCTCTGCGGTGGTACAGTAAGATTAAGCTTATATACATCACAGAGAGATTTTCAACTGCCTTGTAAGGCAGTGTTAATTTCATTAACGAAATCTATGACGAAAAATGTTCGTTGACGACCTTTTTTTTCCCTGACTAAGACAAGACGATGAGAGACGACACCCACGTCATTAAACGATAACTGTGACTATATCAACCAATGCAATATCGTTGACGAAAAAAGACGAAACTGAAATGTGTTTAAAAAATGTTTTAACTTGACCAAAACCACTTCTTTTTGTCAAATAAAGGAGACGACAACACATTGACTGTTTTTACGAGCGTTCATGCTTACGGTTGCCAGATTTCAATACTTTAAACCCACAGTCAGAGCATTTCTGTTAAACAACAACGTTTTTTATAGGGCTGGGTAAAAATATCGATTCATCAATGAATTGCAATTATTTGTTTCTCAATTCAATATCGATTCATCAAATCCTATGAATCGATTCAGCCAACCGGCCAGTGGCGGCGCTGTGGGCAACACTCTAGTGAGAGCGTTCAGCGTTGTACAAGACGCGCTTTACCAAAACAGCAAGACCGTTCAAGCCTGCACCACCAACTAGGGGTGTAACGGACATGTATTCGTATTGAACCGTTTCGGTACGCATTACAAACCGAACGATTACTTGGACCATTTTTCCTGCCGACCAAAATCCGCGCTGGCGCGACCACCACAACGTTGCGCAACATCAAATGGCTAACGTAATGAAAGCGGAACGAAACTGTGTTACTTCAGCCGTTTATCAGTTCGGACCAGCAGCATCTGTGTAGCGCGAGCCGATCTTGATCAAGCGACACTGTTAGGTGTCTACACATCTCTTATACACAGCGCTAAGAGATCCAGTGAAGAAAACATTTGAATTCACCACTGAAGTAATAACATCACTGCGAGAGCGAGATCTAGGGAGAAGCATTTCAATTTCTCCATTATTAACGGATCAAACAGCGCTGACGTGGAAAACAGGAGAAACATTGTGCCGTGAATGAACTAGTTAGGTTCTAAGTCCACAGATCAGCAACATTCACCATGGATTTACTGTAGTAACACTAACTTTATCGTATTTCAGATGAAACAAGGAATTTGCAAATATTATAATGCATTTTAACTTTGGTTACAGTTATTTATTAAAATATATAAGGCATTATAATCTACATTATTGACACCTTTATAATGCATTATACATAAAGGCTTCAAGTAAAGTTTTACCACAATATCTAATAATCGTTATTATTAATAAATGTTTTTCTTGTTTCAACTGTAAAACACTTTCTGAAATCTAAATTGTATTTTTTTATTAGGTGATTAAATCGACAGACTTACCGATCACCAGTTTAGTTCCTCCACCGAATGTGTACCACAGTGATACAATCTAATGAAACGCTCGTACAAAAACCTCTATTCCACTCGAGTGAACACACACTCCAGCAGAGAGAGAGAAACAACACTTCAACACACTGATATTAGAAGATCCTCAGCTCTTCTCAACACTCACTCATTCAGATTTGACTAAATGCTTTCTGATATAACACTGTTTAAAGAAATATATGTGATGAGCTGTGACCTCTGAGGTGACCTTTGACCTCTTTGATCATGGATGATGTTGACATTAGTGAATAATTATGAAAATTTCAGATCCACATTGTTTAATATAGTCTCCCATGCCAGCAGCCATGTCACCCTGTAGCCCAAGACTGGTTGCCCACTGAAGCTAAGCAGGGCTGAGCCTGGTTAGTACCTGGATGGGAGACCTTCTGAGAAAACCAGGTTGCTGCTGGAAGAGGTGTTAGTGAGGCCAGCAGGGGGCGCTCACCCTGTGGTCTGTGTGGGTCCTAACGCCCCAGTGTAGTGACGGGGACACTATACTGTCAAAGAGCACCGTCCTTCGGATGAGACATTAAACCGAGGCCCTGACTCTCTTTGGTCATTAAAAATCCCAGGATGTCTTTCGAAAGAGTAGGGCTGTAACCCCGGCATCCTGGCCAAATTTGCCCAGTGGCCTCTGTCCATCATGGCCTTCTAATCATCCCCATATATATATACACTGATTGGCTTCATCACTGTCTCCTCTCCACCAGTAAGCTGGTGTGTGGTGGGCGTTCTGGCGCAATATGGCTGCCGTCGCATCATCAGGTGGAGCTGCACACTGGTGGTGGTTGAGGAGATTCCCCCTTCCATGTGAAGCGCTTTGAGTGTTGAGAAAAGCGCTATATAAATGTAATGAATTATTATTATTATTATTATTATTATGAGTCGTGATGGACTTCATGCATGTGGAAATTGTGCAACATGAAAATATTTCCCAGAGAGCAACATGTCAACATTGATTCCAAAGACCATAATGGACTATTTTTGATTCCTCTAGATATAGTAAAACTTATTTATTTAGTTCTTGATTTCTCATAGTTAACATGCTTTTAAAGGTGTAGCACATGACTGTACTCATAAAGAGAAATTTCTGAGTTTGACAAAATATGTTTAAAATGATTCTCCAGACAAACCCTAGTGTCTTATCAGCCTGACAAACATAAGCAAAAATATTCACAATTAATAAATATGTACAGTTAATCACTTAATGGTTGAATAACATTATTCTGAGTAAAATCTTCTATGTAGAGTGTATATGAGTTTGTTCTCAGCACAAGCTGTTGTAAATCCTGCCCACTTCTTTGCATTGTCAGCACATGCTTCAGTGCTCTGAGAGTGTTTATAGTGCTGTGAGTTTAACACTTCATGACTGAGAGCAGAACACAACACACTCTTCATCATCACACAAGACTAAACTACAACTATGAACAACATCATCATCTTCATCTGGACCATTGCACTGTTTATTCAAGGTTGTTACTTTTTAATATAAATATAATATGCCATTGTTGTTTTGGTCATTTTAATATACAAATATAAGGTAAAACATTTGAAGAAATTTTCACATTAAATTATTATAATATCATTAAAAATAAGTGTTAAATATATCCTGCTTTTTCTCATAGGTTTCAGTGGACAGGTGACTGTGACTCAGACTCCTTCTGTAAAAACGGTTACAATTGGTGAATCAGTCTCGATAAACTGCAAAACAAACACAGTAGTGAGCAATCGCTGTCCAGGTTCATATACTTGTATGGCCTGGTACTCACAGAAACCTGGAGAAGCTCCTAAACTCCTGATTCATTCTGCAAACCAAAGAGTTTCAAACACTCCATCTAGATTCAGTGGCAGTGGATCTAGAACTGATTTTACTCTGACCATCAGTGGAGTCCAGACTGAAGATACAGGAGATTATTACTGTCAGAGTTATCACTATATCAACAGTAAATGGGTGTTCACACAGTGATAAAGAGTCGTACAAAAACGACTGTCAGTCAGACGTCACAGTGACTGCACTGATACAGCTGAGAGAAACTGCAGCTGCTGATGGAGGAGCACAAACTACACAATATCAATGTCGAGCAAACTTTATAAAGACTTTAAAGGTAAATGTTATATAAGATTTTCTTTATGCTAAAATACATTAACCCAGTTAATTGTTCATTGACTATTACTGCCATTCATGTGTGTATCTCTCTCAAATGCAGGACCGACATGGAGATTTTAGACAGATGAATTACAATTTACAATAATATAGCATGAATATTGATCAACATTAACATATACATAAGGTAAATAATAAATGGTCAAATAAATAATAAGCAGCAAATCAATAATTAAACTACTAATTGACAAAAGGTGAAAAAACTCAATTACATGATACATTTCAGCATTACAGAGACACATTGAGAGGTAGTCGCTGTAGCAGGAGTAGTGCTTAGTGCTATGAATATTAGCAGTAAGTGTAGTGTATTGTAATAGTGGTATTTCTTGCAGTATTGTTTTCAATCAGTATGATAATCAAGTGACAGTGGTTGCTCAGGTGTTATTATGTTGTTTGGCTGTAAGAGTAGGTTGCAGGAGGGTTTAAATGTATTTGCTACCGTTTACTAGGTGGTTATGTCTAAAGCTTTACATCAATGTGCTTTTTTCTTTGATTTCAGTATGGTTTACTATGTAATGATGTACTGATGTTCTTTTTTGTCTGTTTTTAAGGGAGCCAGGAACCTTAATCCTGTTCCATATAATGCAGGCTATGTGGGACACAAAGTACACATAGACCAGAATGAAAAAATGGTTATGTTTGGTGTGTTTGGTGTCTATAGTTCTCGCTTCTCCAGCAAAACTGTTGGAAAATCAACAATGCCTGTGAAGAACAACATCACCATGATATTTACAGGTATTTTAAACCACCTTTTCAATGTACCCAAAACACCAAAAAAAACTTTGTCAAAATAAGAACCAGCTTCTGGAAATCATCCCAATTCATGATTTGCTTAAACACTGTTTATACAGATCCTTTAAAACCTTAAAATCAAATTGTCCAATTTTCAGGCCTTACAATATCTGTGAATGTCAGGAATGCAATTTTTATCTATACGAATAATTAATTGGATTATGAGGTTAGCATTATTTTTAAAAAGTAGTTTTAAAAGTTTAGTATAATTAATTTATAATAAAAACAGCAAACAATTACAATTAAGATGCAGGAATTAGTGAAGGACTGAAATGTTTAATCGATAATCAAAGTTTTTTGGGGTTCATCTAATCAAATAATTGTTGCAGCTATTCTGCCTTTTAAGTAGCCAGTCAACACTCAGATTACCTCCCCACTCCCTGACAACATAAGACGTACTAGATATCTTTCAGCTAAAGGTGACACTAACAGACTCCATACTGCTGTCAGAGAATTGGCAATCTTATCTTTTCTTGCAGAAGTGCAGTGATGGAGTATAAGATGTGGGACCAGGTAAGAGTGGACCATGGGAAGGAGTCCTACCTTACTCTTTACATGCAGGAGAAATTGGCCGGCCACCGCCACAACTCAGAGAGGCCACCATATATGCAAACACCATCAACAAACGTGACTCATTTGGAAAACTGAATTGCAATGAATACAGTTGAGCAAAATATGCACACACCCTGATTGTAATTTGTAAGTTTCAATGATTTTAATGTCAGTCACCCTTTTAATTAATTCCTTATGCTTGTATTTATTCGTAATGGAAAGCTAAAGGTTGGTGATAATTGTGTTGTGTTGAAATCAGCTATTGTCAGACAGTATTCTCTGTGTAAAGCATCTAAATAAGTATTTTATATTTTGCTTTGACAGAATCACACTATTGAAAGAATTTGGCCTGAAATTGTGAACTACCCTTTGAAAGTGGCATTGGTCCAACTGGTGGATCAGGAGGCGTTGGATATGGAGGACAGCATGTCCAAATTCTGTGTGTCATCCTTGCCATGCCCGTTGGCTCGGCTTGGAGTTGACCGTGTTGTGCAAGCGTGGAAGGCCCACAGGACTCCAGGTTTGTGTTGGGGTTCGTCTCAATTAAATTTGAGTCTGATTGCATGTCATCTCAAATTTTGAAAATATGTTATAATATGTGTGATGCCTGTTCAAGCCTTTTAAATTAATGACAATGTCAAGCATTTTGTATACTATTTTTAAGTTTACTATTTTCTGATGAACATATTTTTAAACGTGTTTAATAAAACACTAGGGGAATCATGACGCAGATCATAAGTGAGTTCTGAGACCATCTAGCATCATTGAGCTGTGTACTGTAACATTAAAGGGTCACTTCACCCATTTGCATTAAGGTTTGTATTGTTAGAAACCCAGTCATATATTATAATGATGGTGGAATTCTGCTTGTTTTTTTTCTGAGATGGGAGAAAAAAGGATTTAAGTGTTTTACTTCCGTCCTATCGTGACGTAAATATCGTCATTTTGCGTCACGATAGGACGGAAGATAAATTTCATTGCATATTAACCCTCTGGGGACCAGAGTGTTTTTGGGGCCCTTGGGATGTTTTGACATGCACTGACATTTGTGCTTTTTTCAGTTATTTATAAACATGTTAATGGCAAAGGTGTAAATTCACTCTATATAGCACAAACTTGGCTACCATGATGAGTGAGCAACATGTATGTACATGTTTGTATTTTTAATAGAATAATGTTTATGCGTGGTTATTGAAAAAAATAAAAATGAAAGTTGCTGAAATAAGACCACAAAACACATATTGATTATTTCTTCACAAGACTTTTGAAAATTGTATCACATAGCCTAGAATATTTGCTCCAAAACTATGTGAGAATCATCCTGACTACTCATTCAGATAAGTCAATAAAGTCTTTTACATTTTTAATGACGTGTTTTGTTTGAGAAAGCTTTATGCGAGGAGGCGTGGTCTCTCATTAATATGTGTGGAATTTCACACCTGAGAAAGACAAAGACCCTCCCCATAATGGCCCTATTAGGTGCTATCAGGCCATATCATTACAGGAGCCTTGCACAAAGAATGAGGAGATTTAAAAAAGAATGGCTTTTAGATTGTTTGGATTTATATAAGGAAAATACAGGGTGCATAAGTCTGGACACTTCTATCACACACCCTTCACCGTATAGACATGGTTTTATTTCAGTTCAAAGTTCAAAGTTAGAGTTGGAAACATCTTGAAAAGAAAATTGTCTTTCTCCATAAATGTCTTAGTTTGATCATACATATTTCAAAGTTGAGGATTCATTATTTTGATAGCTTGAACAAACACTAAAACATCTTAGTTGATTAGTTTATTGACAAAACATACTATATATTTAACATATGAGCAGAAACTCCTAAAAAAAGCTTATTTGATGTCTATTTTAGAGTAAAAACTTTATCCAAAACGAGTCAACGAAATGTTATTTAGTCTGTAACAGTGCGTATCTGTGCGTTCATTCATTCATTCATTCACACACACACACACACACACACACACACACACACACACACACACACAAACATGATTCACATTTAACAGTACGCTATTTTTCCGTTTACAGACACTACGTTATTCTATATCGCGATTAGAACAAAGCACTTGCAAAAAACACTTACTTCTCAGCTGAATCTGTTCATCCTCGCAGTGAAAATAAACCCAGTGGTAAATGTCCCAGGATTGTTCCTCATATAGCCGCGCAAGACGACAGTAGATTAATCTGACTAAAAAATAATGTGTGTTTTCAGAGTTTATGGGCGTTCACGCGTCTCAATGTGTTGCTTCACATATTTGCGTTTGAATAGCGCGTGCTCTCCGTGGGCGTGTCACATTACCAGGGATAATCAGCTGAGAGAACGATAATGAGACGGGCTGACACGTCTCTCTTTTTATATAGATAACATAAACGGAGAATATTAATTTTAGTTTTGAATCGGATCATTTAAAAGTACAAACTCAAACGATTTAAAAGATATATTGCTTATGGCTGGGTGAATAGTATAAGCTGAGTTGTGTTGAAGATTAGAGACGTGCTCTAGAAAAAAAGTTCACGGTGACTGAGAGGCAGAACGCACACCCTGTTTATTTTCTTTATTTTACAAAAGCACAATATTTTATTTCGATTGTATGTGGGCACATAAAAAAGTAGACATTTAACAGATTATTTTCTCATATTTCTTAACTCTATATGAACAGAAATGATGGTAGTACTTTAAGTCTATTTTTCTGCTATGTGAAAAAAAACGAGCAAAACGCGCCCGCGCGTTTCTGGTCCCCAGAGGGTTAAGAAAACTACAGCCTTTAGCTCATTATTATTCAAGGGCGTGGGACCCACTCACCCCACCGGCCTATTACAGATCAGTGGGTGGGACTAAACCTGAAGAAACTAAACTATTAATCCGCCATCTTGCTTGGAAGACAGCAAGCTAAGCTAACAAGCGCTCAAGGAGTTAGATTTACCATAATGCCTGAATTTACGACACACGATATGGAAGACGAGGATTTTGAAAATCTTTTGCTCGAAACTGATGTTCGTGGCTATTTATACGAGCCACAATATAGCGAAGAGCAGCTGAGGCTGATGGAGGAACAAGAGGCGGTGGCGTCGGCTGCGGCAGCGGCCGCCGCAGGAGACCAGCCCGGCGCAGACGAGAAGCCCGGGCTTGCTCGCGTTGTAGCGAATTGCTGGTGCTCGTGCTGTAACTGTGCGCCTATGGACACCGAGCTAGAGTCTGTCTGCTGCAAAGAATCTATAAAATGCCAATTCCTTCTAGAAGAAATGTCAGAGGTAGACACGGACATGGAGTTTTGTGCACACGGACGTTTGTGTTGTGAACCATCCTAGTGTCGCACCGCATATGTTCTGACTGGAACATCCAGGTATCATGCAATAATTCACCATATAGAAAGAAATACAAACGAGGAGTAGCTGCTAATTCGCTAATGAGTTTGCCAATGTAACGGGGTTCGTTGTTGTGGGAAGAATGAGACGGGAATCGGCGAACATTTAAACATTTTAATAGTAAAATAAACAAATACAAAACAAAAGTATAAGCCAGCAGCCCCTCAATGCTGGCCACACACAACAGAAACAAAACACACCATAAAATCAGGCCTGTTCCTCTCTCGATCTGGACTGTCGTCGCTCCTCGTTTTATGCGTCCGCTCCTCGGTGAGAGACCGGTGCGTCTCACAGGTGTCGTTCATTATCACTCACGCCACCGGCCTCGCGCCGCTC